GATTAAATATATTTATATTGCTTTTATGGTCGTCCATAAAATAGTATGAAGAAACGTATTATTGTGCCTGTCATCTGTGACAGATTCAAAGAGTATGTGGTTGATTTGATTCTGAAATGAACTCATACGGGTTACTGTAAATCGGTAATTCACCTCAATTAGAAGTTTGACGGTCTTGTCTAGTGGGTTTCTGATTGGTGGAGTCCTTGTCGTTTTGATTGGTTGCCGCGCGAGTGTACTGTAATAGGGCAGTTTCCTCTGTATGCATTGCGCAATACCAATTGCGACGTTGAACACATTGCAACATCGCTTTCGCTGAAAAGCTTCCTGAATAAGGTCGCTCGTGATTGGCTAACTGACATAGTGTGTGTGCACTCGCATTGGACATAATAAACACAAAAGCAAACAAAAATAAAACTATTAGCGATTTGTATTATTGTAGAAGTTGTTTTTTCCAAGATGTATTATGTAAAATATGAAATTAATTTTAGCCTGTTGCATTTATGTAGACTTTTTGCTAGAAATAATTAGGTCTATAATGACCTGCTAATGAACAGTTGAAAATGCTTTAAAAAAAATGCTATATTTTTATGTATCAATGCATTATGTCTGTATATATACTGTCTCTTATACACATCTAGATGTGTATAAGAGACATAATATACATTCTATCCTCTATAATATTAGAATATATTATTACAGGAGTTCTTAGTGATATCACAGAATTAAGTCGTATCCGAGTACATAGGCTTATACTAAAATTACCATTTTTTCAGGATATTCGTTTTTCGAGACCTCAAATTATAAATAAAATTTGTATAACATTCCAGATACCGCACTAACACTCGATTACCCAAAACTATGTGTTGTAATTTTTTACCCCCTATCTAAAGTAGAAATGCCTATATACAGACCCAAAGGGACAATCGAGAATAAACATAATTCTTAATATGTGACAAGTTATTGATGAATCATTAACGGGGAAATTCCAGTTATGAAGAAGCCCATCACGAGATCATGTCGCCTGTTATTGTCGTTTATAACTTTTGACAGTTCGTAGGCAACAGGGTCAATTGTATAGGCCTATCCCTTTGCAATTTTTAGAAGCAGTTCAGTATGAAATTGTTTCGATGTTTAGTGTCAGAACAGGTTTCGTGTGGTGATGTCGTTGATCAGTTATAGGCTTCGTTATTCTGGTAAATTGTATATTAAAGGTAGGCATTTACTGTATACCTTCCGAGGTAAAATCTGGGAAATATAAATCAAGTTGAAGGGTTTATTTAAAAAAAAATTATAGGCCTATTTGTTTTCAACAAATGTTTATTTATACCAGCAAATTTAATGTCTTTGCAAATAATAGTAATTTTAACTATAATATTCAAGCTCTTATTGGCGAGGAAAATATTTTTTATTGTAATTGTAATCGAAAGCTAAAAAATATACCAAAATATACAAAGTGCTTTAACACAAAAGCTGTAGGCTATACCGCAGTCAAAATGACCATTTTTACAAAAATAAATTTAGAAGACCTTTTGAAGATATCAAAAATTAATACTGTATAAGAATATTGGTAAGCATATTCCTCTGAATTATGGGTATTAATATTTAGTCTTGTTCAAGACCGCCTTGAGCAGTAAACTCTGGGGCAGTATAGGCTGTACCTACGTGACGGGGTTGGAGGCCAGCAAAGGACCAGTGCGGTGTGTTTATGTATTCAGGTGCTTTAATGCAAACATTAAATATAATATCGTAAGTGACTAGGGTTGGAATCGAACCCTCAACCCCCAGATAGCAAAGGCCCCAGTGCGATTCAAAGGCCGGTGGGTGTTTGGGGAGTGAATTTCCAAACCTACAATTGCCCAACAAAAAAAATGTCACGAGTGATTCGCATGGGAATCGGACCCAAGACCTCCAGATAAAAAGCCTGATATCAAAACCTAGCATTTAACCGCAAGATCGATGGCCTATCGGTTCTGACACCAGGCTGGTTATCTGAAGATCGTGGTTCCGATTCCCCACCCAAATCACTTGCGACATTTTTAAAATATTTTTGGCAAAAAATGAAAGGGTAGGCTATAACTCATGGTTTTGTCGAAATTTGATCATTTTAGCTACTTAAAAGCTAGTTTAAAGCTAAAGGTTAGTTCAGACCAATATGTAATTAATTCATTATGAGCTTAATTCTGGCAAAATGTACCGTATAGTATATTAAGGCTATGAAAATGATGTTCAATTAGATTAATTAAAAAATAATTTATATTTTCATGGCCCTTTGGTAACATATAAGTATCAACAGAAAAACGTCTACTGAAAAATAAAGCAATTTTGCAAATAATGAACGATTTTTCGACCCTGCAATTTTCCGGTAGTTATGTGTTCGACTAGGTGAAATATTGCTCAATTTTAGCTATAGCCCATGATTTTTGTCGGAATGTTGTGCTCTCTGACACATACAGGTACTACGAATGTGTTCTGTGGCACCTACGAATATAGGAAAGACGAATCAGCGGGAAAAGGATTATGTAAATAGTAGCTCAATTTTGGCAAAAACGCAAAGGGTTCACGTTTTTTGTCGAAAGTAAACGATGCTTTTCCCTCCTATTTTCTGACGTTTTTTGTGTTATGTGATACCCAAGGACCTTACGACTGAAGAATCCGCAGAAAAATTAATAGATGAAAAATAGCTCAATTTTGGCAAAAAAGCAAAATGTATAGCAAAATTTAAATTGAACGCTGTGGCTGCTGGAGCCCCAAATGACGGAATTCAGAGGCCGGCAAAGGCACAGCGCGCCAAGAACAAAGTCCCAGTGGGGTTTTTGGGGGCTAATTCTACAAAAGTAAAATCTTTTATGTATTTAGATGCTTAATTTAAAAGATTAATACATAAATTTTATCTTCAGAAAGCTTTTTTTGCCCGAGGGCCCAGCGAGCGAGATAGCCGGTCCTCCCGGTGCCCACCAGCACACTCCCGAAGTTAGTGATCTTGTTACTATTTTGCTATCTATTTCAAGGTGGAATGATAAGTAGAATGCGAACTGCTTTTATTTTTGAAAATAAATACAGCTTTCATGAATATACATAAAAAAAATTATGAGATAAACATATTTATGTTGCCCATAATACATTTTTATTCAGCGATCCAGTAATTTCAGGTTAACAAAGGAACATGAACGATACAAAATTGGAAAGGTAGGTAATTTTTATTTCAGTAACGCAAAATGTACATAACTTAATTTCAGCAGGAACCTAAAAAAATTAAACAATTTATTTTAAAAAGCCAAATTGCAAATGTTTTATAACAAATTTCTTATCAACATTATATACAGCTATTGTATGTACATTTATATATACATGTATGTATTAGGAGAGTTGCCGGTACAAAATGTGCATTGTAAGTGGCAGCGTGATACATTTTATTTGGTAAACCTTAGTTTCCATACAATCGCTACACGCTATCGCCAGCAGCTTTCGGTTATGCTGATTAGTCGGTCGAATCGAAGCCTTCCTGATTGCTGCGTAGTACAACGATTGCACTGAAAACACTGTAGCGACATTCTAGCGATTGTATGGAAACCAAACTTAAGCATGTATTATCTTCCAGTTATTATGCTATTTAAAATATAAAAATCCTGAGCATGTATAGTTGATGGGATGTGACGCAGCACATTAACCCCCATAATCTTTGTTCACACTAAGGTGATTTAGGCGCGCTGACTCAAACTCAAGTAACGCCTGTGTTTGTGTCAACTCGACGCATTAAGCCTCATTATTCACACCGAATCCGAATTTTCGGATCGGAAGGCCGAACTGATAAAAAATTCGAATCAGTATGTAAGAATAGGAATGCTGGTGTTTAACGCATCAGAAACGCGGTTTGAATTTCGGTTCGGATCCGATGTGAATGCAGCTTTAGCCATAATAATGACGTCATTTCATTTGACTGACATTTTAATGTTAATGTAAGGCTTGAGTATACTGTTTTACTTGCACTTCTAATGGAGTGTGTCCTAGCTTATCAGTAGTTTTATCGGTAAAAAATCCACAGCTTCGATTACAATGATTATAGCATTATTTTCCTTTCTTATTGCGGCAGTCAAGACTTTTTTTTAGATTTTTCTAATATTGACATCATAAAATAAGTATATACACCGATATAAAATTATTTACACAAAAATGTACAACAGTAGGCCTATTCCTAAAAATGCTACACAATATTGGCCTATATTACACTAAACCTTTTAAATGTGCTTTACTTCAATTTATATTCTACAAGCAAAAACGAAATAGTAACATTGATGAAATTCCGCTTTTATCAGTTGATTTAATTTTTGCAATACATCACTATTTAATCAAATTATATTATGTTTAAAAACATAATTATTGTACCAAGAAACAAAGTCCATGTACACGAAACTACGTGCTCTTCGTGTTTTCTTTTCTTTTTTTTTTACACTCATAATAAACATGTGTATGGACGAGTTCAGAAGACCACGGATGCTTTATGATATTAGGAAAAGAAGCCCTCGTCAACGTTTCTGTAAATCTTTTTAGAAAGTTTAACTAAGCTGGGTTATGGCAGCTTGTTGTACATGCGTGTTATTTGTGGTCACTTGTGGAGTTCCATTGTACATGTTGTACGAACGGTACGTCTGCGTGTAGTAGTCATTAGTAAACTGAAGACTCGTGGTGTCTGTAGTTACCTGTTGCTCTTCACTAGAGAAGAGAGGTTGCTTTATTTTCATCCCCACAGGGACTTGCTCGGACAGCTTATTTTTATCAACTGCTTCAATATACTCATTTGCGCGAACAGGCCGGACAATAATATTCACAAGGCAGTCGTCCAGTACGAGAGAATCTTCGACAGACGATTGACTGTTATCTTCAAGACCTGATGTCAGTGGCTGCCATTTCTGAGCAACGCTGAAGAAAATCTCAGGTTTTTGGATAGGCATACGACTGCCCTGCAAATAGTCTCCCTTATACCATTGCGTGAAATCGTAGTCAAACTTGTTATAGTCGAATATCTTAAATCGTTTTTCTCTTTCTAACTTGATAGGTGGTTGGCCGATGTGGAATTGAGTACTGTAGCAGAAGACCATCCCTTTACAATACCTGGTCACATATATGGAGCGTTCTGATTGGACATATTCAATAGTCAAACTGTAAATAAATATAAAGATGAAGTTTTACTTATTTCAATTCTACATTTGATACAAAGGCTCCTCACACGGCACAACATTAACTTCAATAATCCTCTGTTAACTTATAAATCAGAAGGCATAACAACAAGAAAAACAATTCAAAAAATATCTTAATAAATAAAATTTAAAAACCAACTAAATACTTAAAAGTAATGATGTTTCGACAAAAATGAGTATGTTCCATTTATATCTTTACGTATTTATTAATTGTAAAAAATATTTATAATGTTATTATCATTAGTATTTAAACCAAAATATAAATAATATCATCATGTTATTAGTCTTTTGCTAAGACACATATTTTAACGTTCAGGTTGAAGTGGTTTTGTATTAATTGAAACTTATTTTATGAGTGATCCAAAAAAGAATTGCTTAATTTTGTGGGCAGTAGTGGTTTGAATACGTTTTACTCCCTGCAATGTACTCTACGAACTCATTTTAATCATCGTCAGTCCCTGTTCAATCACTACAGTAT